TATAATCTGAAAAGTAATTGAATTCAGTGATACTTGGTGAAAACAACATTTATGGAAAATTTTATTTGAAAGTGAATTTTCGTGTAGTTGCGAGTCTTAGGAGCATTTTTTTGTTCTACATAAAGGACCGTAAGTCTAGAAAAAAAAATCTCCCGTAGTCATAAATTTTAGCGATCTCGTTTTTACTCAAGGAATTTAGAAAGGAAGAAGGTTTTGGCTTGTAAAAAAATCGATTTTCATAATTATTTGGAATTTTTGCGCTCATTTTTGGAAGAGATCCATAATACGAGTTTAAATTAAACAGTCAATACAGACTATAATACCTTAATCTACAGCCGAACGAATTGTAACTTGATGTGTGCACTGCACACAACATGCGGTAGCTTACGAATTGTGTGCTCACAAACTGCCAATCTATAGCAGCTTGTTTTTGTTTGCGCTCCTTTTTCAGTATGAGTAGATGAAAAAGATATGATATACTTATTATATCTTAAAAATTTTGCAGTCGAACGGTCTAAGTGACTGTTTGTAAACAGGAAGGCGTGGGGTAGCGTGTACGATGTGCATATTCACAATTAAGTTAAGACTGCCTGCAGGTCTGTAGAAAAATTCAAATAAAGGCTACATTTACAATTGCAGTGGTACTGCTTTTTAGGGGCAGAGCTGGCCGAGAGGTTAGTGCCCTTGACTACGGCGAGGAAGGTCACAGGTTCGGTTCCGCGGCGGGCCTAATTTCTTTGGCAAAACAGCTCTGCCCACGATTCCAGCGTCAGGCTGCTGATCCAAAGGAAAAGCAAGCGACAAGCCGGCTGAAGAAGAAATCCCGTCGCATCACTATGCTCTTTTATGTCTTATCAGGATTCTCGAGTAAAAGCTAGGGCGTTCCCCGGAGGCGACGCGCATTTGAGCCCGACAGATGCGAACAGTAGGCGAGGGTTACCGTCCCAACAAGATGAGCGGGGACGGCTGAAGAAGCTAGCTCATCATGGAAACAATCAACGATCCAAGTTCTCTCCTCTTCGATTGGCCACTGTCAACGTCGGATCTCTTACTGGGCGACATCGAGAACTGGCGGATCTTCTTGGAAGACGTAGAGTAGACATCGCCTGCATCCAGGAGACCAGATGGAAGGGTGAGAAGTCACGCGATATAGGAGACGGCTTCAAGCTTCTATATAAAGGAACAAGCAGCAAAAGAAACGGCGTCGGAATAGTCATCTCCGAACGGTTAAGAGATAGTATAATAAGTGTAGATCGATTCAGTGACCGGCTCATGGGCATTACATTAGATGTGGGTGAGCGAGTTCTCCGAGTAGTCACCGCATACGCACCCCAAGCAGGTTGCACGGTAGAAGAGAAAGACGGCTTCTGGCAAGAACTAGATGACTACATCAGATGTGTACCTTCAGAAGAAACGCTACTGATTGGAGCAGATCTTAACGGCCATGTCGGTGAACAGCGAAGTGGTACGAGTAGAAGTCACGGAAATCACGGGTATGGGATCCGCAACGAAGAAGGCAATCGAATTCTGGAGTTCGCTTCCGCTCATGAATTGGCGTTGGCAAACACCTACTTCATCAAGAAGAGCGATCACCTAGTAACGTATGCCAGCGGAAATCAAAAATCGCAAATAGACTTCTGGGCGGTACGACTAAAGGAGCTCAAGTACGTGAAGAACTGCAAAGTGATCCCCAGCGAAGAATGTGTACCACAACATCGACCACTGATTCTAGATCTGAATATCCCAGTCAAGAATCGAAGAAAGGCAATGACGGAGGACAGAATACGCATCAAGTGGTGGAAGCTCAAAGACGACGCTCGATCCAAAGCTGCTATGGAATCAGCTCTACCACTCCTAGAAGGCGAACCGGAGCGTTCCTGGACGAATCTGAAGAAGAACGTTTATCAGATGGCAGGAAACCTGCTGGGATTTACAAAACCAGGAAAGGCAAGACTTGAGAAAGAAACTTGGTGGGGGAATGAGGATGTTCAAGCTGTGATCAAGAGTAAGAAGCTCGCATACCAACTGTGGCAGAAGACAAGATTAGAAGACGATCGTCAGAAATATGTAGACGCAAAACGTGCAGCAAAGAAGAGCGTAAGAGAAGCGAAGGAAGCGTACATAGCAGACTTCTACAAGAAGCTGTACACTCGAGAAGGCGAACGTGATATCTACCGAATCACAAGGAGAAGAGCAAAAGCCACAGAAGATACAAGCCACTTCTACAACATCAAAGACGAGTACGGAAGAATTCTAAGAAGTCCAGAGAAGATAAGCGAACGATGGAGAGCACACTTCGAGAGAATAGCATCTACAAGCTACCAAATGTCATCTACCATAGTAGCTGAGACGGTACAAGGACCGGTAGAAAACATCACAGAAGATGAAGTTCGCGCAGCCATAGCGAAGACGAAGAACGGCAAAGCAACCGGCCCAGACGACATTCCCAGTGAATTCTGGAAGAGGTGCGGACAAGCTGGAATCACTTGGCTAACACAGCTTCTCAATCGGATAATCGAATCCAAGAAGATGCCGCGCGACTGGTCCAAAAGCGCAACGATTCCAGTATGGAAGAAGAAAGGAGACATAGCCGATTGTTCCACATATCGTCCCATACGTCTAACGAGTCACACGCTGAAGATCTTCGAACGAATACTAGAAACGAGACTCCGAAGCATCATAGAACTAGCTCCCAATCAGTGTGGATTCGTGAAGGGCTGTAGCACAACAGATGCCATCCATACCGCCAGAATAATGATAGAAAGAAGCAGGGAGAAGCAATGTGAACTACATGCGGCGTTCCTCGACCTGGAGAAGGCGTTCGACAAGGTACCACACGACATCATATGGTGGGCACTACGAAAGCACAAGGTGCCAGAAGAGTACGTGCAATGGACGAAGATGATCTACAAGAATGCCACCAGCCACGTACAGACAGCAGCGGGACCGACGAAAGAATTCCAGATACGAGCCGGCGTACACCAAGGCTCTGTACTCTCACCGCTCCTGTTCAACACAGTCATAGATGCAGTGGTCGACGGCTTCATACGACAACCACCATGGACGCTCATGTACGCAGACGATGTTCTCCTACTGGCGAGAAGCAGAAGAGAGCTCCAGATGGAAGTGCAGAAGTGGAAGGATCAGCTTGAGATGCATGGACTGAAGCTGAACATGACGAAAACGGAGTATATGGAACTGGGAACACAGACACCCGGGACAATCCAGATCGGAGACACGCAACTCAAGAAGACCACCTCCTTCAAGTACCTGGGAAGCCGTATCTCCGCAGATGGCAACCTCCGCGATGAGATAAGCAGTAGAGTGAACGCAGCATGGATGAAGTGGAGAAGTCTCACAGGAGTCCTATGTGATAAGCGGATGCCAAGAAAGCTGAAGTCCCTGATATATCGCACGACAGTTCGACCGACGGCCCTATACGGAAGCGAATGCTGGCCATGTACACGTGACGAAGAGAGAATGATCAGTGTAATGGAAACACGAATGCTGAGATGGACCACAGGAGTGACGATGCTAGACCATGTCCCGAATGACACTATACGAAGCGTAATGAAAGTGACACCCATTGCAAAGAAGATGCAAGAAAGACGTCTACAGTGGTATGGACATGTGAGCCGAAGAGAAGAAAGCCACATTACGAGATTGGCCATGTCAGTGGAAGTGCCAGGGAAGAGACCAAGAGGAAGACCTAAGATGAGATGGCTGGATAAAGTCAAAGCAGATATGAGAGAGCTTGGTATAAGAGAAGAGCAGGCCTTAAACCGAGAAGAATGGAAAAGATTGACGAGAGCGGCAGACCCCGAGTGACGGGAGAATGCAAGGATAAAAAAAAAAAGTGGTACTGCTTTTTCAGTACCTATTAAACGCGAATCCTTCCAAAATCACTTTTAAAAGTAAAGAATATTGCTTGAGCAAATATTGAACTTTGACGTCTTCAACTCGGGATTTTGCGTTGCAACCAAGCTCAGCCCTGTGATCAATTTTGTCTTCAAAATTGGGTTTAATTCAGTTAAGAAGACCATGTTTTTATATTGGCCTCGATTTGAACTTCAAATAATTTCCTTGTCTTTACAAAAAAGTGCAGTAACATATGTAGCGTGAATGCTGGGAAAGGGAGAAAAAGCAAATTTTGTGACCGAGCATGTTCCGGCTTCTTTGTTCGAGGCAAAGATCATCCTAACAGTATTATGAAAACGATTCCAGACTTTTCTATAGGTTTTTGGTACGGATTTCTTCAAAAGAGCTCATGCTTTTGAGTATCTCATCAGTAAATCCACTGTCTCCCATATTTACTGGTCTTGGCTAATACTCTTAGAACTCTTGTCCTTGTCTCCTATATTTATTACAGATGAAGTGCATTAATATATTTCAAAATCAAATTCCAAGTATCACAATGAGAACTTTCTAGGGACAGGTGATTAGCTTATTTGTAGTCGAGTGCGCCTGTTACAAAATGAATAGAGACAATCACGAGTGCCTAGATTGTAATCGAGTCTTTTGTTTTTTCTTTTTACTCCTTCTTTTTCTAGTCATTTGTATCTTGTGTGAAAAATCTAGGCACGAGTTTTCATACAAATTTGTCCTATAAAACTGGCGCTACTCGCAACAGAGCATAATTTCAAAAAGAGCTCTACTCGATTTAATTTTTAATTTTCTTAAAGAGACAAATTCAAATTTTTCTTTACAAAATTGTCCTATAAAACTGGCGCTACTCGCAACAGAGCATAATTTCAAGAAGAGCTCTACTCGATTTAATTTTTAATTTTCTTAAAGAGACAAATTCAAATTTTTCTTTACAAAAAATTATGTTCCTTCAGGGTAAGTGCTTTCCGTAGGACTAAACAACACTATTTGAGCCGACAAGTCGGCCAAAATATATACGGCTACAGGTCTTCAATAAAGCGACGTAGATGGACAGCTGCTTTGTAACCCTAGAACAACTGGTAGCAATTGCAGAAATGTAATTTTTTTCGTTTCAGCTGAAGCTTCACTCGGATCGAGGAGACACTCCAGGCGCTGCGACTGCGCCGCTGCTGTCGGCACTGGATGGCTACACCGAAGATGAACTGTCAGAATATCGACAAGTTTTCAATATGTTCGATACAGGTGCGTCGCAACTTGAGATCAAAAATTTTCAGTGAAAACTCTCCAATACTGTAAATGGCTATGATTTGTTTTTTTAAACTCCTTTTTTAGTAGGAGGGGCTTGAAATACCAACCAGAAATTGGCAGTTCGTCTCTGAAAATACTTCAAACTTGCGCGAGTCATAATTTGTTAATATATGTTTGCCGCTGATACAAAAATCCTTATTTTGCATTGCATTAGATATGAAGGTAATGTTTATCTTTCTCTAAGTATAAAGTACGGAAAGACCCGCGAATTTAAGCAAGATCTGTGTATAAAATAGTCACCTTACATTATGAATTTAAAAAACACATCTATCCATAAGTTTTCTAGAATGAAAAAGGTATACAGTACTATTGGAGCACGACGGCTAACGATTCCGAGTAAAAAAGGCTGTGTGTTATTTTCCATACACAATATGCAAAATTCAAAAGTATTAGGTTGACGGATAATTTCTGTTACACTTTTTATTTTAATTTTTAAAAATCTCAGAAGCCTTGGAAAGATCTCATGTTCATGGTGTATGGGCAGGGTCAAAAGGCCCATACAAGGGTACCGTCGCATCCGCGATCCATGCGCAAAACACTCACTTTGTGGCTAAAAATCCATTTCTTCCTATTTTTGTAAATGAGCTGGCGTTCTCTCAGGTGATGAGCGATAGACCGGACAATGTGTTGATCAGGTATGGCATAGTCTGTAGCGTTTAGCTAATATGGGGGGATAACGCAGACATGTCTGCACACGTTTTTCTGAGCGGTTCAAATCTCAGTGCGCGCCATCTTTGCAATCATCGGAATTTTTACGAAGGAAACGTCTTCAAAAAACTTCCAAAAATCATTTTTATGTTTTCTGTATTCATTTCTATACGATGCACATAAAAGGAAGAATTTAGGAAAGTTTTTGAATTTTTTTGATATTTTTTTCACCCCTCGTTTTTGAAACGCTAAAAGCACCGCAATGCCTCAGTGTAAGAGACAGTGCCAAAATACGTTCTAAAAAAATTCTAGAGAGGGAAAGGGCAGGTAGGTGCAGGGAAAAAGATCAGACAAAAACTGAAAAATTTTACTGCTCTTACAAAACTGCCGTAAACTTGTTGGTCATTAGTGCACTTGCGGAATCAATCATGCTGGTGGGTAGACCCTGCTATGTCCTAAGCATGTTGCACATTTGGGGTTTTCAGAAAGCTTCTTAAATTTTCTAGAAATTTTAGAAAAAAGTGTAACAGTAATTATCCGACAACCTAATAATTTATCATTTGAAAATTTTATTGAAAGCTATTAGTCTTTCCGCATCACTTTTTCATCCGCGGCTTACAGCGAAGTAACTGCAAGTACCTTTTCCAAGTTGAACGTAAGCTATTCTTCAGAAAATGGTTTTGCGATAATAACTGCTGGGACCACACTCTTCCTTCTTACTGACCTAGTGTATACCTACAGGCATATAGGCTAGAAGTTTCGATGTTTAGTATAGTGTTCCTGCGTGCCAATTATTACCGGCACATTTGCGCGTGAACAAATTGTTGCGCTTGTAGTGTCGATTGCTTGGTGTGCAGATTTGCGACTTTTGCGCTCGCTGACAATTTGTGCACGCGCAGATGTTGTCGGCAAAAGTTGCTCTCGCAGAAATGTTACATCAAGTTTCATACCTATTAGCCTATGCGTAATCTCATATCTGTTGATGAACCCCAATTTTTTTTTGAAAGTATTTTCTGTCGGCACAAATTTGTTGTCCTCTCACAGACTTCTACAGCTACTTATAGGACTCTTAATTATTGGGAAGAATCCCTTTTTTGGACTCACTAACAGTATTCAAAATGTTTCATAAACCTCATGTGTACTATCTCCAAAAGCTAATCAAAATCTTTATTACCAGTAGGAATTAAATAATAAATAAAACAATGTAAGACCAGTGTCCAGATCGCGTATGTTTTGTTTATAATTGTTGCATTTAAAGAATACTGTCCTAATAATAGCTGTTATAGCTGATAAGCTATCCTTTTTTGTCATTGCTTTTCTTCTGCTCTTTTCCTTTCTCTTCTTTTCCATTTTCTTTCTTTCCATCTGTTTTCTTTGCATTGTCTTTTGCTTCCGTACCTTCATCTTCTGTGGCAAATTCATCTGTTACTGGGGTGACTATGGGGTTTGAAACGCATCTCTGAGAAAAATTGTTTTTTGAGCACATTTAATGTGAAATATGAATTTTTCTGAGCTCACCTCTGCTCCCGTCTTGTGTTTTTTAGCTCCATAATCCACACTAAGGTCCTTAGCGCCTGGTTTAAACCTTTTACCAGTTTGCCCAGTTTGCTGTCCCTTATCCTTTCCCTCTTCTTTTTCATTTTGGTCATCCGTGGGAAACTCGTCCGTCACTGGCGTTACTATCGGATCTGACAAGAGTGCCTGCAAAACAATTTCCTTGGGAACACGACAGCTAGATGGGGTAATTGGGCCGTAGTACATTTGTCTGATTTGTTAGACAAGCACGTGGTGGAATGGAAGAAGAATCTGCTCTTAGTCATAGAATGGGTTTTTTTGGATACATAGTAGACGACTTTGCAATTGAACAACGGCTTTTCAAACAATCTACATTACAAAAACTCGGTCATTTTTATGTTCAAGGTACCATAAGCTACGATCTCTATTGAGCTGGCGGAGTGCGAAAGCCTCTCCTAGCCGCAGAGCATGAAAATGTCATTTTAGCTGATTCTTTTCAAATTTTAGATAAGATCATCACTGCATAGGCATTATCATGATCTTCAAGATTTCCTTTATACTATAGACAAGCTACTTAGATGCAGCATCCGGCATGTATACCTGCATTTCTCATGAAGCCAATTGCGAATTTTTCAGGCCTTGTCCAGTTCATAAGATACATCCATGGCTGAGAAGTTTGACCATAAATCCTCGCCCAGTACCGTAATCCTAAGGGGTTCTCTCACCAAGATTACGGTAGTGGGCGGGAGTTGAAATTCATATTTCTCGATATGAACCAAAAAATCTGTTTTTTAAGGAATGGCCTAGTCAAGGCCTCCTCTAAATCCAAACGGAAAGATTAGATAACTAAATTGGTCCAGACATTGTCTTTTTCGCAGATTTATTACATAAGGACCACTCCACATGTTATCCATAGTTGCTTTGCCGAAGCAACTCCTTTTTGAAGTTTATTTTTGAAACGTGCTAAAGTTCACCCACCTTATCATGCTTTCTAACTCTAGGTGGTACAGGCTGTACTTCTGCTGCTGGTTCAGCTTTTCCTAAAGTGAAATTTTACAGAGGAAAAATAAGTTTTTTCTATAAATATTCCTCAAATTTGCTTCTGCTCTTCTTAGCTTACGGTGTAGGACATGGGCTTATAAACTTTAAGTAAGGAGAATCTTCCACCGCTCTAGCACAACATTCTGTGAGAATGATTCTCTCAGATTGATAGCGGTATGAACTGAGTGGTTCTTGATTCATATCCTTATCATATGATCTATTGCCGGTGGAAAGCGGTTGTGAGTGTAAGCTAAGCGAGAGCGTGCGCGGTGCTTTCTATGTGTCCGTTACGTTCAAGCCACAGCCTTCGTTTGAGGACGAACACTTGGGGCGCACTAAGTTGATTTTCACAAGGTTAAAAGCTGTTTTGAGCTAGGAGGGCGAATTGGTGCGGAGATGAGCGGGTGCGAGTCCTTTGAAGTGTGCGTGTTATCACTTCGCCGCTTGCGAGACCGCTAAGATCGGGACGAGTTACATCGTATTCAGGAAAAGCATATATTTCGAAGTTGGTAAATACTAGAATACTAGTACTAGTATTCGACTGATAGATGGACGAAAGAGTATGCTGCACGTAGAAGTCGTTCGGCTCTCCATGTGTTGAAGGCCAGCCAATAGGAGCAAACGTGTTGACCAATAACAGGCGCGGCTAGAGCAAGCGTTTGAAGAGAGCAGCCAATCGCAGCAGGGTGCTGATCAATTACGGGTGCGCAGCTATGTTTAGAGAGCCAGCAATCGCAGCAAGGGTACTGACCAATCACAGGCGCAAGTACAGCAAGCGTTTGAAGAGAACCAGCCAATCGCAGCAAGGGTGATTGGCTGGTTCTCGCCTGTGATTGGTCAGTACCCTTGCTGCGATTGGCTGCAATCAGAGGTGTGCGGTTACTGTAACTGCTCAAGGAAGCGCTACGTAGTAGTGAGCGAGTAGCGATAAATCATTATCAGTGCAAGTTGGTTAAAACCTTTCGTAAATCTTACCTTTCTTTTCTTCTGGCTTCTTTCCTTCTGGTTTCTTTGCTTCTTGTGCTTTCCCGTGAAATGAAATCTAAGCAAAATTTCTCTTTGACTAGATTTGTAGCGCAGTTTCCATCTAACCTGCGTAGCACTTGGTTGCTGCGATGCCGCCATCGCTGTCTGAGCTGTCGTCTGTGTTCCCTCCGACTCATTGCTCTTCTTTTCCTTTGCCTTTTCCTTCTCCTTATTCTTACTCTTCTTACCCTGAGCGTCACCTTCTTTACCTTTATTCTTCTTTCCCTGTGTATCTACTGCTTTTTCGCTCATTCTTGTACTGCTTAGCTGCAAATTCGCAGAATTTCGGTAGAAAGTGGGAAAATCTTTTAAAACCCACTTTTTGTCGATCAGCACATGCAAATATTTCTTGAAATATTATGACGGCCACAACCATCATCACAAGTAATTCCATAATACGACTGCTATGTGAGGCGAGAAATAATAAAGTGAGCATCGCTCGTAGGTGGACTCATTAAAATGCTACGATTTCCAGCCTTTTTATACACTTAAAGTTGATAAGGACTTACGAATTTAGGTTATTTTGTACCCATACATAGGAATTGGCGGCTTTCATATAAATGTGACTTTAGATGGTTGTTACATTACTAACATTTCAAAAAAAACTTACATCGTTTGTAGTAGAGAGATTTTCGGAAATCAATACTGTTCTGCCAGTCACATTATTACTGTAGCTTATTTGATCAGGGTTTTCTTCTGAAAGGAGTATCGGCACTGGATGAAAAATCTTTCTCATCTGTTTAATTTGCAATATACATTAGTATAAAACACATACATAAAACCCAAGCTTCTCATTATAGCCGACTACAAAATAACTTTCTTGGTGCTTCTCTTTTTGTCTTTTGCCATTCTTCGTTTGGAAATCGAGAAACTCCCTTTTATGGGTGCATAGCCTTATTTTCGATCAGTGGAAAAAATCACTCACTTTATTCTGTTTTACCTAACAAGCATAGTTAGAGTAGAGGACCTGTGAATAAAAGAAAGAAATTCATAAACTGTTGCGACTTCGTTTAATTTTCTAGAAGGAATTATGGTTTCTTGCTATTACTTTGGTAGTTCTAAACCTAGGGATCCTCATACTTCGTTGAAAAAAAGCCTAAAAGCGCTCAAAAAGTTTAAAAGGGCCAGAAAGAGCCGGAACGCACCTGGATCTTTTGGTAGAATTCTGACTTCATTTTGATGTGCAGACGACAGAAATGAAGCAGAAGACTCTGTTGCGAAATTAACACATATGCCCAAATCTTGCTCGCAAAGGTGGACCATCCGTCTCTTGGTGCTTTTGGGCGCTTTTGGGCTTTTTCACTATGAATTGTGTGCGGAGTATGACGGGTTCCCTAGAATTAGGGATAAACATTCACTTGCATTTGACAAATTCTGTCCAATTTTTTGAATGTGAAATTCATAAACATTCATGCAGTAGAAGGAAGTCTTTGGACCGGCCATACTATTTCTGTGTGATTCCTGCCATTCCTCCTGCGAATCCTGTGACTGTGGGTCCCGCAACATCGTAGCAATGTATACTGAAAAAAAACAACTCGTACTGAAATTCGCAAAGCGCTCCGTGGTGTGGTACATCGAAATTCGGGGAATCGCAGGAATTGCAGAAGTCACAGGAATCATCTCCTGGAGTAGTATGGCCGGTCCCTTTAGTTCAAAAAGTTCAAAAATCGTCGAGACATTTTGACTCTGAACATTCAATCATTTTACACATCGACACGTCGTTTTTGTGAAAACATTATATTAGATCATTCCTAAAGTAATTTCGCTTTTTTCAAACGGGCGCCACATTTGATGGAAGAAAGGTTTCTAAGAGATTCTGGAAGCATTCGATGCAGAATTTCATTTTCTTTCTAACGGTTATGGAAATGTTGCAAAACATTCAATGAGCTTTCAAAAAATAACCAAAATCTGCCACCCATGCCTTTTGAGGTCAAGTTTCGCGATTTTTTCAAGCTTTCATATCAGTTCTCAGAACGAGTTCAAGTAACGGTTCGATAGAGTAAACCTTACAGAATACAGTGTTACTTTCTCTCTTTCTCGCAGCTCGCCGTAATTTTTTAAAAGATTTTTCAACAGAACTATCGGATTTTGGCAGGCCCACCTCAGCCACAATCGCATCAAACATCATAATTTTTCGTAATTTGAGACTACCAAGATGGTATTATGAGCTAGCATTAATTTTACAAAGCAGGTGAGGGTCTACGGGTTCGAAATATCAAATTTCGAGTTTTTCGGATACAGCCTGGGGCTCGCTAAAAAAATGAGTTATGATGATTTGTCCCCGGAAACTAAACGAATCGGAAACAAAAAACACATGTTAGAAAGAAGAGTAAATGCTGAATTAAATAATGCGCGAGCTGCTCTTCTTTTGATGTTCTACGAGGACGTATTAAAATCGGTAGGATCAGTTAAAATTCTGTTGAAATTGTATGACAAGCTATGGAGAGGAGAAAAAAGCAGTACTGAATTCTGTAAGGTTTGCTCTATCGGATCGTTACTTGAACTCCTTCTGAGGAATGATATGAAAGTTTTGAAAAATCGTAAAGCTTGACCATCTCAAAAAGCCTAGGTCGCAGATTTTGGTTATTTTCTGAAAGCTCGTTGACTGTTTTGCAACATTTTCATAACCATTAGAAAGTGAATGAAATTCTGCATCGAATGCTTTTAAGATCGCTTAGAAACCTTTCTTCCTTCAAATGTGGCGCCCGTTTGGGAAAACACTTTCGGAATGACCTAATACTAAGCTTATTTGGCATTTGAAGTCAGATGGATGCTCTAATCCATAAATAACCCGCACCAGGACTCATCAAGCTAATTTACAGATAGAAGTGGAGCAATCGCACTGGATGAGTTGGAAACAGCAATTCGTAATCTTGGCTTGGACCAAACCCGAGATGAGCTCGACAAGATCATTGATGAGGTGGGTACTCGGTAATACTACTTGGTAATTGATGAAAATGCACTTTTTATTGGTTTTTTCGTATTTTCATTGGTCCCTTATTCTCAAAAATAAAATAAAGTAAAAGGGTATATCAGCCACCGCTACTGAACTTCACTTATGTACTTTTACACTTCTTAAATATTGTGTTCAATCTAAGCAAAGTACGTTTGCACATAACTTTCCATAATTTTCCAGCGCTTGAATTTTCTTTGCCTTTGAATTGTCCAGTTAAGAGTGAGACAACATGTCAGAATAACGCTGTGTAAAAACTTCCATTTTGAATTGAATTTGCAGAAACAAAGGACTTTTTATAATTCTAGGTTGATCAACGCGGAAATCATCAAATCGACTTTGACGAGTTTTGCATAGTCATGAGGCGGTTATACATGAAGAAACGCAGCTGGAATGAAGTTGTCAAAGAATGTTTCAGCGTTTTTGACAGAGTAAGTCTAATCTATATTTTTCTGGATTATTGTTGTTTGATTGAATTTTTAGTCCGAGTCAAGTGTGATCTCGAAGAAGGACTTCCAATACATTTTGAGAGAGCTGGGCGATATCACAGACAATCAAATCATTGATGAAATTTTCCTCGAGGTACTTTTTTGAAAATTATCTATTAGAACCGTAAGAGTTGCTCATTTAATCTCATCATTATTGACATACCTATTACTTACTTGTTGTCCTTTTTTTAATTATGAAAAAAACGCTTCTTTTTCAGGCTGATGTCGATGGAAATGGTTTGATAGACTATGACGAGTTTACTTACATGGTGAAAAACTACATGACCGATGATGATATCAACTGAGAGATCTCATATTTTTTGTACATATGTTTTTTACATATATTTACTGCATCACTCAGATTTAGCAATAAATATGGATATTGATCTTTGCAGCATTTTATATCGTACCTTATGCAAAACACATGTCATTAATTGACTTACAAGCAGAGGTTTTGCTAGTAATGCTGATAAACTTGATTTTTTGATGAGGTCTTACTATTTTTATAGAAATTCTATGCACTAAACTATCTGAGAAAGTATGGTACATATAGTAAACCAACACAAAAAAAGATAATTATTGGATTAAGTTGTCATGGATATTGAAATTAACTTTTTGACATGCCAGTGGAATTCCTGCGCAATTTTTTTGATTTGTGAAACATTTGTGAAACACACAACCATAAACACTAACCAACAAACAAACATTTGAACTCATTTATAAAACTACTGTCAGATTTTTGAAACTTTTTTCAATATGCATTCTCTTTGCGTCATCAAAAATCTGCAGACATTGCGAAACTCATTTTCTTTCTGCTGCAACTGAAAAGTAGTGAGTGCAAATTCAAATCACCATGATGAGCGGGTTTTAAGGAAATTTTAGGAGATACACCATTAAACAAATGTAATGTTTGATTGATCACCTTTGTTGTTGATCTTAATAATCTTTGGAACAGTTCGCAGATTTGCCTGTACTTTACGCAATATCTCGTACGTTTTCTGTTCGTAAAATCTGAAGTGAAGTTTTTTTTTCGTAAAGTTCACAGATTGTTTCTTTCGTATTTAGACGCTTTTGTACAGTGGCTAAAGAAGAGAAGTAAGGCAGCCATTACTTTTACTTGGTTTAGTATACTGTTTCAATCGTAGTCCAGCTTTCATCACGATTGTTTAGACTTTGGGATGAGAATTTCCGTAATGCTAGATGAAAAGAAGTTATAATAACTTTATGAAATCCTGGACACCTTAATCTCTTATGAACAGGGCTTGGCACGAGGTGGCTAGATGAAAATGGAAAAAAAACGAAGTCCCCCTTGACTTTTGGGAATTTTTACGAACTCCCCTTTGACCCTCAACCAAATTTCCTCTAAAAACCTCAAAAATTCCCCAAAATCCCCTAAAATACGAAACGTCGACTAAAAAAAAATATCGCCAAGTCGCCAATTTTGCATCTTTCTTCGGTCACCAAAAACGATACCCAGCTTGCTCACAAGCCACCTGTGCCGAGCCCTGCTTATAAAACGGTGTTGCTTAGAGTAATGAGTTGTAACATAAGATTTGTTAAACTTTCTTGGTCTTCCTCTGGAATATTTTATAAACTTCGACACAATTTTTTAATTGGCATAATCAAGAAAGTACACGGCTATTGATATCGTTCTCACATTCACGAACTCAAGATGAGTAAATAAGAGGCAATTTTGTAAACGCGGTTCAACCCCCATTTCCTTTTTATGGAAATTCTATAATTCTTCTTTTCCATCCTTCTATCCTTTTCAATGGGTTTCCTGCAAAGGAGAACAATTAGAAAGTCCAAGCCTTTCGATAACAGGAATTGAAGAGTTCGAAAAATCAGGAACTTCAATATGTGACATTCATATATCGAAAGCTGAAGGCCTCCACATACTTTGAAAGGGAAAAAAAACTTTCAATGATGTTTTGAAAATTTTTCATCAAGTGTAGAAAACTTTATGTGCCTAATACTTGAAGAGTTTTACAAGCTAGCTCAATATTGACGTCTGAATGAAATAAATTGGAATTTAGAGCAGAATGAGAACACATCCGGTAGCTTAGTGATTCAGAAGACGGCTTTAAGGACCGGGCATACTTCACGCGATTTCAGTCGCGATGCGATTTGGCAATATTCCAACTGTTCATAACTGACTGTGAACACCTTTTAAATATACAAAAGATAGGACATTTTATCAAACCATGTAAGTTATACACAATATGCATGTGCAGTTTGCTAGAGCTGGATGTAAAGACTTCTGGCGAACTGCCAAATCGCTTGAAGTATGCCCGGCCTTCAGTCATACAAGTAAAATCAATGTTACTGATTTTTCATCATCTTACTACTCCTTCATTGGAACTTGTTTGGAGATTGCTCTTAGGATAATTCCAAACATGGGAATCGACTAGACCACTTCAAGACAAGCTCACTCGCAGCAGTTTTCACTTTTTATAGATTGAAATCTGCTAAGGCGAAACCTGATCATAGCCGATTTTCGATGCGCAACTGACATTGAATGGGAGCGTTCGGGGGTCCAACTCAGCCATGGTCATATAACACTTTCCTCTGGTCCAATCTATCCGTCATCGTTCTCGACTCTTCTCGACCCAACTAGCGTTCTCTACCTTCCTCCAATCCAGGTGTGTCTATCTTGTGCCATGCGCAGAAACCGAACGAACGACCTTCACGTCTATTGATTGTTCCAATTCTTAAGTGATTTCTTGCTAACTCCAACCAGATCAGATCATTGAGATCTTTCTTAAACTATACTTTGGGCTGTTCTGCTGCAGTTTGTAACATTTTTCCAAATGGGAACATTTCTCGCGTTTTCTATGTCCCAGTTCAACTTCTTCGGTAAAACGCACAAACTCGCTCTTTCACTTTTACTAATGCATTTTCATGCTGTAATAGTGGAACTACACATGCTTTTCTTGAAAACTTTTTCCTAACTACCCAATAATGAATTTGTTCATTCTACCATGTTCGACAGTCTCATACCTCTAAACTTCGGCGTTCATAGTGGTTGCCTTGCTCTCTATCTTCCATGAAAGTTTGTGTATACACAGTTTTACGTGAAACCTTGTAAGTTTTTTGATCTACAATGAATGTCCAATTTTCCTTTCTTTGCCTAGTACATCGAAATCGCAGTAATGATGAGCTTCTGTTCAAATTAATTTAGTAAATGACCTGAATGATTTATGAGAAAACCTTTGCATCATATTTTTATTTTATGACTAGTCTTTCAATTTCAAGCCTATTAACTTTGGAGAAACTAACTTCTTCGAGCTTAATGCGTGTTGAGCCTTTCAAAAAAAATAGGGACTTTTGAAGGACAACCAGTTAGAGATACTTCTTTTGAAAAATTCAGTCCAAGTTCGAGAAATTTACAAAGAATTACGACAACTCAAACGCTTGAAAATGTTGATCAGCATAAACTATGATCTACTTTTATCCAAATTGAATTCACTCAAAACTTGACATACAACTTATCATGACTTGTGAATTGCCACTGGCATTGAAAAGTTGGTCGTTTATGTCAAATTAATTTGAGAACTCCACCATTTAGTAAGTATAGAGTTACACAACTTTTGCAAATGAATCATTTTACCACAAGAAAGTGATGATTGCAAACCACTTCTTTGCTTTTCCCAAATCAACCCTTAAGCTGTGCGACTCTAAACTTCTCATATGGTCCTGAATTACATTTTCAATTTTGTAATGAGTGGTAGGAAACCTAAGTGACTAGAATAACTTCTGGTTTCTTTAAGTGAAAATTGAACGCGCAAGTTTTTCTGTGCTAATTTTTGCTAACCGCTTCGGGCGTACCCATTTTTGAGTTTAAAGGCCAGTAGAGTATCGTCGAGTCATTCGTAACTTAATATGTGGGCCTGCACACAAAGCGTTTCAACGGACGGCTCCGTTAACATTAACTTCCCGATCAAGTCTTTTTAGCGTAATAAAGTGTACAAGTGTAAAATTTTTAGTGTAAAAGTTTACACCACTAATCAATATCCTTTCAAACCAAAAAAGTTAAAGAAACAAGGCGAAATTGCTGAAATGAGCAGGTTCCAATCTTCTGAGTTCGTCAAATAGCGCGTACGGTGTGCAATACGCATATTAAGTTACAAATGACTCGAGGATAGATTACATTGCAATCTTTCAGTTGCATGAATCACTCTCAAAGCATATATACATTAATATCCTAAAATCAAACTAAGTTATTTGATTATTGAGAACTATTCGATGAATAATCATCGACTTTTGTAAGGCTGCAGTTTCTAATTTTTGGTTCTGTTAAATAGCTGCTGCAAAGAATATGCAGGAAATATTTCTCTCTCTCTCTCCCTCTCTCTTATTTCGAGTTCTTTTTCGTACAGTATGACCCATTTTGAACGCATAAACTTTTTCAACTTTTTTGCCATAGCAGATAATCATATCATGGTACTATACCAAAAGTAAACTTTGAGTGGCGTTGTAACCCCTCATTTGCAGTAGTTGTAGTTATATAAATGTAAGAATAATGAGGAAACGGAGTTGTGTTGACTTGAGAAAATTTTTCTATATAAATTGTATAGAATAATTCTGAAGGAGTGGATAAAATATTGCTATAAAGAAGAAAAGCGCACGCACCCACTCCCTGAGCATGTAATTGAAAGGATTATTTGTGCAACAGATATATTTACTATGTAAATCGCATAGCTGTTAGAAAAAAAATTCCTTGAGCTTTTCCCACCTCTTGTTTCTGTCTTTCTATCAAAATGTTTCCAAAATTATGCAGTGAATCATGTCATTTCAGTAGTCGTATGCTTTTACTGCTCATCTTGGTAAGCGGTGCAGTGGCTGCTAGTGACAGAACTTGGACTACTGATGAAGGAGTAAAAATTGAGATCATCAAGAAAATTCCAGGTTTGTATTTATACCTACTTCTCAAGCTACAATCTCAAATAATTAATTCCTTCTCTAGATTCAAAATGCAAGCACCGCTCTGAGCCTGGAGATACTTTGGAGCAGTTCTATAAGTTGACTGGCAAAGATGGAAAAGTCATTGGTAGCAACTTTGGGCAAAAACCGTAAAAACCAACATTTATATAAAATCCTAGACCACTTCAATAATGAATGTTTCAGTTTTACCTTTGTATTGGGTCGAGGGGAAGTAATTCGTGGAATGGATATCGCTATGGAAGGAATGTGTGTAGGAGAGCAGCGCAAGGTATGTATCAATAACAATCTGTAATATGGCAGAGTATTCATTTTCTAGGTTACCATTCCACCTGAGGAAGGATTTGATGATCCAAGCAGTATGGATGGCGTCGATGTAATTACTCTGCAAGTAAATAATAAAAAACTCTTAAATATTGTTTTTCAGGGAGCAGAATCACTCAATTACTTCGTTGAGCTGAAAAGCCTGTTTAGGCCAGTTCCAGGAGATAAATGGATTACCGACGAGGGAGTACATATAATTGTGAGCACAGCTTCCTTTCACTTTAGGCCTCGAGTCTTTGTGCAATATGACAGTCAATTTTTTCTTTGAAAATCCGCGTATTTGGACATTACTGAAAAGCATGACGAAGCAGCGGGGTAGGGGGAAGCGCTCGGAAGGCACAAAATTTGCAAAACTTAAGCAACCTGAGTTTCGGGTCTCGTTACTATATCGTATGGGGAGCAGTACCAACAAAGATGATAAACCTTTGTTTTGCCGCAGAAAACGCCAGATGTGAAGCGTCCGTTTTCTTTAGCTAAATAGTCTTCAGCGAAACCGCCTACTAACTAGTTCCCATGATGCACGTATGTACATAGATGCGCTGATCTGCACTCAGGATTCGATAATTCAAGAATTTGCTAATTTTTTGAAAAAAGCTGTCAGCTCCGGGCTTCTACACTCCGGAAATGGTAAATAGCATTAGGTTGTAACGTAAGTTTTGTTGCACTCGAAGGAAAAATCCTCCATGGCTTTCTCCAAAGACTTTTCTCATCTCCAAATCGAGTGGAGGGTTGTATCTTTTCAATATATACATGCCAGACAAGGAAATTCCAATTTTGAAGTACCCTATTTTCCGGAGTATAAGCCGCATTTCTTTTCACCGCGCGCGGGCTGAAATGCGATGTCGTTCGCGATACGCGAAGCCGCATAAGCAGCAACTACTATCTCTTTCGCCTGGTAATCTAATACGGACTTTCTGCTTTCGTTCTTTATTTGGTTTCTTCGCAAGTGTATTTGTTTGTAACAAAATTCTCTACTTGTTTTTTCTTCAAGAATCCGCTGAACAGTAAAAGGACGTTCGAATACCAGTAGTAACATGGAATCGAGAGGTGATAAGCTTCAAAGCGGTAAATTGAAATAAAAGAAAGCACACCTTCAGCACCAGCAACATCATTGAAAAAAGGAAAGCACAGTCAACCACTAGTATCATTCAGGAAAGAAAACGCAACCCACCCGCAAAGTCATATGAAACAAGAAAAAAGTGAAGACATGACTATCCGTACTAGAACGCACCGAGTTTTATTTGCTATATAGCTCTTTTCAAAGGCGCTTTCGGGCCATTGTTCGCTGCGGCGGGTGCGGCTTATACAAGGTGCGGCTTATACTCCGGAAAATAGGGTATTTGAAATTTTTTTGATTATTTTTGGCAAATTTCCAACTTGCGTTATTGAACAGCCTAGAATTCCAAACTTCCCTCATATTAGTACTAATGTCCCTTGGAATCCAACAAAATTTGAGAGCATAAGAAATAAGAATGAGAGACTTTTCAAAGGCAAAAAATGGAGATTTGAGTGCTGTCGCAAAATTGCCTTTATATTTACTGTAACCCATACCTGTAAAGGGAGAAATGATGCCAATGCTGATACTTTTTTGTTCACGGCTCATACGTGCCAAATATCAGACTTTGTCAAGGTTTCTAGAGTTTTTCAGAAGAAAATGAAGAACTTGTCTTAAAACTTATGTTGCGACCTAATTACCAGAGTAATGTGTTAGTATGAAAGCAGTGACTTGGTAAGCGCAGATATTAGGTTGTCCGGAAAATAATGTCGCTGTTTGTTTTATCATGCAATATCACAGCAGGGTGCGCACGAAAGTGTGTGAGTGGGGTATCAACCGATAGGTCAGAGCAAGCTCTACAAAATGAAGCTCGAACCTTTGCGCCAGGTTTGATTTGCATGGAGTTTGGAGCCAAATTTTACAAGGCACTCAAGATCTGAAAAAAACGAAAAAAACCATATCTACGTTCAGAGAAGTCTTGAGAACCCCTAACTTGCTCAAGCATGGACTCACTATACGAGGCACTCGTACGCGCATTTTCGCAATTTTTCCATGGCTGAAAATTGAGAAAACCAAATTTGGCATATTTCTGCCAAAGAAATCCTGAGCTTCTCTTACATAGGTGATTCTGTAGCATGAACCTTCACGAGTATAACCATGAATTTTTAGCTTTAGACAAGCGCTAGTTTTCGAGAAAAATCAAATTGTTTGCAAAAAACCCGAAAAACACGACATATTTGCACTTTTGACCTCTTTTTATTTCTCGTACTGTAGCCATGGACAAATATAGTGTGGACCCCGGCCAGCTTCCCATATGTACCTCCGCGCCGCAAACGCAGTGCATGCCTTCAGTGCTCTTTTCGTCCCAAGACCTATTGGTTTCTATGCGTTTCTCTCTTTATTGAGTTTGTTTTTTTCTATAATCTCTTTCTTTCAGGGTTAAACGAACCACACCAGCTGATGATGACAAGTTTTTACGAGCCTCAAAAGTCTTGAGAGCTTCTGTCTCAAAAGCTCTCGTTTTTTTCCTCCGCAATGAGGATTAAGTATAGTTTGAAGAGATTTCTTCAGGGTTTCTATCACGGATCAGACGTATCTATTCGATTGAATTTGTTTTGTATAGAAACGTATCTATCCGACTGAGTTTGTTTTGTCTAAATCTTTTAGTTGCTTTTCAATGCGGCACTGCAGCTTCAGCTTTGTATAATTACGCTCTCCACCTTATGCTTCTAGTTTTTCAATGATTGCAGAAGAGTAACGTTCCAAAAGTAATCCTCTTTCCGCTATTTCTACGATTTTCACCCATCAGTGGTAGTTTCATACTAGTAAGCATGAGAATGACAAAGAACCAAGTGTTAGTGGAGGTTGGAAGAGTTTTTTCTTCTGCTTAAGCTTTTCTGGAGGTGAGAATAGAGGGTTCCACTTCTTGTCTCACTCCTATCTTGACTTAGAGATGATTTTCGCTCATATGGAATAAGAAGCGTCAACAGTGCGCGCGTTGCGTATGCGCTGCGGAGGTACATATGGGAACCTGGCCGGGGTCCACACTATACCAAAAACTATACAGGTGAAAGTCTAGTGTGGAGAATACATGCCTGTGCGAATTGGAGATCCCTAAGACGTCTGTGAACGGAGATACGATTTTTTGGGCGTCTGAAATTTTTTACATCTTGGATTCGAACTTCAGGTGGAGCAAGATCTCCGCGGAGATTTGTGAACTGTCTTGTAGAGCTTGCTTTGCTCTATCGAATGATACCCCATTCGATGTTTTCTGTGGTCATTCTGTCGCGGTAGGATGCCATGCGACATTATTTTCCGGACAACTTAATATTGTAAAGTGCGTGCATTTGTAACCTCTATGACCAAGAATGGGCGTTGGCACTACTTCTTCTATTTTACGCCTTAATTCGCAAAAAGGAAAACTGGCGAACTTCCATAGCGCGGCTAATCAGAATGGGGGGAGGGGAAAATGCTACATACTATGAGCTCTTCAAGAGTAAGAGACTCGGAGTTCAGGTGACCCACGAAATCGATGACGATGAGTGCATCAAGGCTGAAAAGGGTGACACTCTTCATCAGCACTACACTCTTCATCTTGAAGATGGCACCTTTATCGATTCAAGTTGGAATCGTAACAAACCTTTCGTGTTCAAGCTGTACAATGGAGAAGTAAGAATAGAAATAATCTCCTTCTTCAAAGGCAGCATTTTCTTGTTTCAGGTAATACCTGGCATGGATATCGCTATGGACGGTATGTGCGAAGGAGAACGGCGAAAAGTTATTATACCATCAGAGCTTGGTACACGCATTTGACCTGCTTCCATCTTTGAAACCTGCTAAAAATATCATGTTTAGCCTATGGAGAGAAAGGACGACCTCCACGAATTCCGGGAGATGCACCTCTGCACTTTGACCTTGTTCTGGAAAAGATCGTAAAATCAGAAAAAACTGAGCTCTAAACAATACCCTGAACTTTACGTTCCAAAACTACTGTGATATGTTAAAAATTCTAGTATTGCAAATAGTGGGTAACTTATGTTGAGCATTGTTATTGTTGTTTATTGGATTTGGTGCTAAGTGAATAAACTTATTTGCCTTATTTGACTGATCTATTGTTGTGTGCTGACAGATTCTGTTCTCTATCATAAAGCTAAATACAATATAATCCTTAAAGACAGCGTTCACTTAAAATCTATTCACTCCAGATTACTACTTGTCCTATTAGCAGGCTCCAGAAAGTAGATTCCGCGTTGGTCCGGTCTCGTAATGTTGCCTACAAAAATAGATAATGAATCCTCTTTGCGCTCCTCCTCCTCCCCCCCCCCCTTTTTTTTGCGCTCCTCCCACCTACGGATTGCCCCGTGACGTGTTCTGACATGATAGCAACGTCGAAACGCATAGTTTATCATGTGGAACTGTTGCATACGACGAGGTTTCCTGTTGCATGCGACGCTATTAGCACGGGGCACTCGCCCACGTTTGCCATAAGAGCTTCAAAAAGGGGCTATTTTGGAGCTCTCTGGTAATTTAAACCTATCCGAAATCAATGCCATGTAAAGGCCCGATAACAATAAAAACGTGGAAAACGAAATCTTTGGGTGGACGCTGCCTCTAAATGAGTCAAGCCATGAGAAACGCTGCCACGTACAAAGCAAAGATATAGCCACAATAGCGTAGTCCATTATTGCTTAGCTTCTGAAGCGTCAATAAACATGATTTTGGTTTTGAAAGTGAAAGAAATCACCCTACAAGCTCAACGAAGCAACACTTGTCTATGTTAAGAATTAGACAATATGTCGATTTCCAATAGTAGACTTAGAAGTGTTGCCAACAATCACTGCGTTTTCCAACTTCAGTGCTTTTACTCCACGGACCGCCACAAAGCCACAAATTAAGTCGAAGTAAGTTTGAACACCTATTATCGAATCAACGAACTTCGTGCTAACCAATGACATAAACTGAATGAATTATATTCCTCAGCAATAATAATAGATCAGGCACAGTTCTAAAAGGTCAGGCTGCCTGAGCTGTCGTAGTCTTCCCTCCAACCCCTCAACTTGCTTTTAAAATACAGTTTGCATGCCACGCTGGCAGTCGTCGCAGCAGCCTTTAGCTGCCTTTGCGCACTATCTCAGTACCCCAAGGCTTTTCCGGAATGTAATACGATTATAATATTCACATTCAGCATGTCGAGTTATCCCATCAAACAAAGTTCGAGCAAGATCCATAGTTTCGATTTGGAGTTCGCATACTAGATTAGTGCGCAAAAGCGGCTAGCGGCGGATGCCTGCGCAGTATGAAAGCACCCCTAAAAAGGCTCCATTTCAGGTATGATTATGGTCATAGCCTTTTCGTGCCACCGGAAGTTCAAATCCAAACCTTCACTTCGAAATCATCGCTCTGGAAGACGGTCGAGACTCAAAATGCGCACTCAAACTGTGGGTCGCGTGTATGTGCAAACAGAAGTTGGTCGTGCGGACTCCAAAAAGCAAAACCCTGGTTGACAATCCAAGAATGTCACAGTCGGAGGGTGGAGTGAAATGAAGGAAGATGTCATTTGGGTGAGAACGAAATGGGTTGTTTGTGAAGAACTTGTGCCTGACCTCAAGCCTCATCCTACTGATTAGCAGACTGAAATGTGCTTTACCTCTGTTTACATGACTATGGAAAAATGTTTATGGGTTATGGGTTTACGCCCTAAATATTTCCAGTAATCAAGTATAAGTACAAACAAAGAAACTCGATTCAAAATTGAATTGCTGATCATGGTGCTACAGTAAGCTTCGACCCGTTTTAGGCGGAAATTGGATTGGCGAGCGTCCACTTCGCAACGGCTCGCGCGTTCCGCAGCTACAGTATGTCGTATCGCGCTGAGGACCCGAGTTTGCCTCTCCTCATTGTCCTTAGTCTACTTGGCAATGTCAGCGCTACGCGGTCGCGATGCGCACGCGCCGCTTCTCGCAGAATGCTCCGCCTAATCCAGGATGAGACCGACTGTACGGAGCTTCAGGAGCGGTATGTATCAATCGCCCGTCCGGGTAAGGGTTTCCATTCAGGTGAATTCGCCTCTAAGCCAGTGCTGTGGTGATAATGAATAGCAGCACTTTGCTGTATAAGCTGAGATTTTCGGTATTTTGTAGAATCGCGAACGGGATCCTCGGGAGATCACAGCTCGTTTTCAAAGTCATTTATCTTTGCAAAAGCTCAATGGAAACGTAGACAAGTTGTGCTGGAGATTTATTATGAGCGGTGATAAGCATGTTTGCAGTAGTACAGATGAAGGTGGAAACTGAGTTTTTCGATCAACTTGCGAGCAGGGGTTCATCGAAGAATTCGTCAACTTGAGTTTTCACTTATCGTTCACAAAAATACTCAGCACTGTCATAATGGATCAACAGCATAACTTTACCAAGTTTTCACTGAGTTTTGCAAAGATAAACGACTTTAAAAATGAGCCATGAACCCAGGAGGATCCCTTTTGGGACCATACAAAACACTGAGAATCTCAGTTTACAGCAAAGTGCTGCTTTTCATCATGCTACACTATTAAAGGTAGCGTCCGGGCAAAAAGATGGGTTTTTGTGGCGATGTTAAAGTAGACCCCTAGCTAAGCGATGACTGAAGTCCGGAGCGAAAAAATGAGTCTGAAGCCTGAAGTTTGCTCCGAAAGTGGCCCAGATCTTACGATAGGCCCGGACGCCGCCCACACAGCAATTTCGAACTGCAAGGCCAGAACACGCATAGCACAAGTCATGAGGGCAGGGTCCCGCAACGACTCTGCATCTCTACCCTGCATGCATGTCGTAGTCGCCCGAGGGCAGGGTCCCGCAACGACTCTGCATCTCTACCCTGCATGCATGTCGTAGTCGCCCGAGCCTACCGTAAGATCCGGGCCACTTGGGGGGCGCTTTGTAGGCTTCGTAGACCCTCCTTCGCGCTTTTGTCGCTTAGTTAGGGGGTCTACTATTACACTAGTATCAGAGCCAGATGCCCTCAATCTGATGGGACGCTGCCTTCAAGGTAGTAGGGCCTCCAAAAAATGGACAAACAAGGAAGAACACACAGATTCCCAAGATACCGAGCTATCAAGGGACTACTACTTAAATGAAAGCCGTTACCCTTACCCGATCGGCAACTGGTACATATCGCCCCTGAATCAAAACATGTGTCGTGAGACTAGACTTCTGTCTAGAAATTAATGCGAAATGCGAACTTGGTTAGAAAACTTTCAAAAGCAACTTATGGCTGCTAATTCCTCCAATTGGTTGAAAAAAGTCTTCGCCTTTCTCTAAAAACAAAAATCTTTTTCTCTGAAAGAATGAAGTGCAAAGGTAGCAATAGCAAGGTAAGTGCTACACTTTTTCTCTCTGTACTGTATATACAGTAGTGCCATTGATTAAGAACCAACTCCTATAAAGCTTTATTGGATTTCAGTCTGGGCGGAGTACAATAATCTAAAGCATAATTAGGCTTGCTGCTTTTTCTAGACAGAAGGCTAAAACAAGTTGGTTAAGAAGTAAATAAAAGAGAATCAAATACTCTGGAAAGTATGAACAAAGTGAGCCAGCGACTCAAACGCAGATTGATTTCTGATCGATTCTTCAGTTTATGTTCGTGGCTAGCGTAACCATGCAAGTCCTTCAATTCATTTAACCCCTGAAAAGGTGATTTATAATTTCCGGCTCCAAAAGGCGAACTTGTTGATATTGTGCTTGCACTTATTTGACATTGGAAAGCGATATGAGTATTGGCGTAACAAATACATATTAATATGTATGTCGTGTGGTTTGGAAATGCTTGCAAAATATGGCAGCAAAAATGCTACAATTTTGATAAGCATTGAGTACCAACGCATATCAATTTTTTTCACATGTAAACATCATCACTTCTTGCCGCTTTGCTATTTGAAAAATCGTTGCAATGTGAAATGGGCAGAATTGGTGGCGTGCGCATCATATGATGAGCCGATCCACGTTTTTTGACGTCTTATAAAACGCAGTTGACTAATCCATAGGAACGATTGCGCAGTGGTTTGCGCGCTGTTATGAAGAGATCGAACACAGGTTCGATCTCACCCTATGTCAACCAAGACCTCTACTCCTCAGGGCCGGCAAATCGGTACCACAGTAATTGGGAGGCTAAACTGACTTGGTAATCGGTGACCAGCAAGTCACTGTAATAGGCTCGCACGTATTCGGTGGCCTCTTCGGCTGTGAAGTAGTGCATTCGGCGCTTGCCCGCAGAGAGTCTTAAAGACGCCAAATCCTTTAACTTTTATATCCTTATACATTTACTTTCGGAAACAAATGGAAGTAAGAGGCTACGAGTTCACTCGAGGGAAAGAAAAGGTAGCAATTGAGAAAACTCGTAATAGTTTCTTCACCCACGGGTGCTATTACACACGACTATACTAACAAACCATGTTCCATTATGTGACGTTCAAAATCTGAACTAGTTTGGAAATAAATTGTGAATAGATGTTCCGTAAGCAGCGCCGTGCTCTTGGCCCCGGCACAGAGCTACCGAAGCTTACGACAGAGATCTCGGTCAACAAATTACAAATCAATCAACAAGTCAGTCGACAAGTTGTTACCATACTTCATTTGCCTACTACAGGAATCAAAAATATCAGTCTCTCCACCTTTGGAAAAGTCAAATCACTGAAACTGGCATGCCGAAATCAGGTAATGGGCTTGTACACTGAAAAAGGAGTGAAACACCTCCAGTGAAATCTATACCGTTGCTCACTGGAAACCTACAGCGCATTCAAATCCGTTGCATGTACTGCAGTCGACTCCATCACTGAGACAGACGATGCTCCAATCCTTCAAATTACAAGGAACTCATTTTGGTCAGCAAATTCTGGAGACTCGAAACGATTGGGATACTCGACGATTCTTCTCAGCAAGATGATGAAAAATATCTCAAACACTTCAATAATACCGTCTACTATGATGAAGTTTGAAGAAGGTACGTCGTAAAGTTACGTTCATGATAAATCCATTCGAGCTGCCCAACAAGTTTTCTCTTGCGCATCCGCATTTGTGCTTGTAGCACAGGTCGCTGCAACAGAATAGCCCTTTTAAGGGCAGGGCAGTTCTCTTGAGGCGGACCGTAGTCGATTTCATCGCGCCTCAGTCTAGCATCCGACGAGCTATTGATCAGAGATCTCGGTGGATGCGGATCGCTTCCTAGGCATTATAATCAAGTGCCTTCTTGAATGAAGAACCACATGGACCCGTTTGGTCAGGTAAGCGATCGGAACTGCACGCGCGAGGCTGTGCTTCGACTCCGTCTAGCGACACACCTTTTGCTGCATCGCCGGGCAATCTTTAATAGCGGCCACTATCGCAGTCGATTATGACCGCTATCAAGGATTTCGTCTAGCAAATGTACGCATTAAACAAAAACACATTTTGTGACCAATTTTATGAAAAAACCAAATGGTTGCAACGTGAACTTTATGAAATAAATAAATGAGTTCTCGTTTTGGACAGCTTTTCAAAAAAAAAATCAGTAAAAATTACAAAAAAAGAGAAGAATTTGTTTTTTTGTTTTCCTCGCCAGAATCAGGGCCGGTAGTATCTAATCCCCCCGACCTGGCGGCAGGTCTCGTCGGCAGGTCGCTGGCACCTTTTCCGTGAGGTGGCCAGAAAGCGAGACCCCAAATTTAGGCCGTCCCAGGCCTTTTTCCAAAAAATTTTCTCGATAAAGATGCCGCCTCGACTCTGTAGAAAACCCCATAAAAGTCTGCGGTTCCAGAATTCCTCCTTTAGGAAAATATGTGGAAGCGCAGGAGGAGTTGCCGGCAACTCCTCCTGCGCTTCCACATATTTTCCTAAAGGAGGAATGCCGGCAGCTCGTCGAAATCCGCGAGATGGCAGCTGCCCGCAGGTCAGAGAGCACGGGAAATAGCGTGCTCTATTGAGAGGGGGAGCTGCCGGCATCTCGACGTGCCCCTACCACGTCGAGGTGGTGGCACCTTTGCCGACGGCGTCTGTAAGTTTGCGAGTTGCGGCGAACTCACACAATTTACGTCAGGCGAAAAAAACCAAAAATCCTACTTTCTATAAAAAACTATCATTTTTCTCATTACATGAATTTTTCTTTTTTAAAACGACGACTTTCTTACAGAGAAACAATCTAGTCATGCTTTAGAACCATAAAGAACACTATCTTTTTTGGCAATTCCTTCTAAATCTCGTTTGCACCGATTTCGCCCCTTTCTCGCTCATATCAATCAGCTGTTATTTCAGGTCAAAGTCTCTCACGCAATGTATTGATCCCTCTTACATGCGGCCACTTACCGGTGCGTTCCTCCTATTGCTGGTGCAGTCGGCAATAATTGACCGTATGGTCGAATGGGTCGAATGGTTAACGGGGTGGCACTTGAAGTTAATGCACTTAGTTCGGCCGCGTGCGAGGTAGCAGTTTGCGGCTGTGTGCGTCATCAAAATTAGATGTGCGAAATGATTGCGCACTAAGGTTACATAAGATTATTACAACCTACAATCACTCCACGAGCTGCCGCCGATGATGGCAACTTTCTCGCGATGTGTGCCCAGGGCCCGGCACGAGGTGGGCAAACGGGGTTTTCCAAAACGAATTCCCCTTTGATCCCAATAAATTTTACGAATACCCCCTTGAGCCCAAAAATGACGTTTTGTGCTTGTGCGACGAGATTACCGGCCACATTTCGCCTAAAAGCGCTCAAAAGCGCCCAAATTGCTCAAATTCCTCAAATTACTCCTCAGCTGTATCAAGATAGGAAACAGGAAGAAAAATTAGCAAGAAATATGATTAAGGAATGAGAAAATATCAAAGAAACGCAGTCATAGGAATGAGAGACGCCGTTCCCGCGCGTATCGATTGACTGGGGCGCGCTTTCCATCTTAGAAAGCTAGGCTGCTGATGCGATTTTGGGCTCTAACAAGGACAAGAGGAGGAGTTTCGGGACCAAAATTTCACCATGTAGTAAACTTTAGGTGTACAACAGATTTATGTAAAAATTTTGAAAAAATTATGTGAATTGAGAGTTTTGCCGACCTCAGGTGGGAATTAGGTCGGCAAATGCCGACCTAATTTGGAAATTAGTTAAGGGAACTTTTCATTCACATAAGTTTTTCATAATATTTCATACTTAGTTACTTAGTCCTACTGCGCATACACACACCAAATCCCGCGCGATTTCGTTACCTCTGCGTTGCAAACGAGCCATTTTTCCATTTCTTTGGTAGCGCAAAATTTTCAGAAAAAAGTTTGCCACAACCTTCAGTCACATAGTTTTTCAATGAAACTCCTCAGTTAAGCCCTGCAAGTCCGTGTGCATGTACTTACCAAGTTTCATGCCATATCGTTCATCTGCGCGTTCCAAACGAGCCGTTTGAATTCACATCTTCATTTACCAGTTTTGCGAAATTCTCGGAGAAAATGCTAATTATTCGTTCCGTTCACATAAGTTTTTCATAAATTTTCATACTATGTTTCCACTAGCCTCTCTCCGTTCGCATACAAAATTTGGTGCCATATCGTTACACATACATTGAGAACTAGTCATGCATGCTGTTACAAATAGCACTTGGGCGACGTCGCGCGTGCGGCAATTAGCGACGGCGCGGTTTGACGCGCGCGAACTCCAGTGTTCGCCTGTTGAGGCACATAACATGTCAAGATAAGTAGCGAGCATGAACTACCAATTTTTTTCCGTGGCTCCGCCCCGGACCCCGCAAAAACGATTTCCCCTTTGCTTTTTGGCCCCAAAACGATTTCCAGCTTGTCATTTGCCGACCTCGTGCCGGGCCCTGTGTGTGCCTACCTGCCGGCATCTTTGATGCCACCAGGTAGGGTAGATTACTACCGGCCCAGGTGTTCATCGATCCTCTCCTTTTCGGGCGCAGTATGCAGTTTTGCGCCGATTTTGTTTGCAGTGTTAGGCAAACAGATGTGTATCGTAAGTACTCAGGAGCGACTTTCGGGAGTCTTCTCTCTGTCTCCACACTACAATACCGCTCACAAAATATGCAAAGTTTCCGCGAATATCGCAAAATTCCGAAAATTCCGCGATATTCCTGGAATTTCGCGAAGTTTCGCGAAATTCCGAAAAGTTCGCGGAATTTTCGGAATTTTGCGGCATTTACGGAAATCTCGCACATTCTGTGAGCGGTATTGTACTCGACGTGCTAACAACATTTCTTACATTGTTTTGCTGCTAGTGACACATTGTAGGATAGAATATCTGCCAACGACTTTCGAATTTGAAAGACAATTCACGAGAAGGCGATTTTGTAACATCATAATCTGACGAACAATTCAAATAAAGATCTGTGCTAAGCATGGTCCGATAGAGGTGTTCACAAAGTTTTAAACTCAAAAATTAGCGGACAATTTCCGCAACAGGTAGGCGAAAAGTGCAGGCGAAGTTGCGATTTTAATTGGTTTAGCTACTTCTATCTCACTTTAGCTTTACTGTAAGACTCTCTAGTGCAAAATAAGTAGGATTTTCGTAAAGATCGGGACCAAAAACCACTATGAGTAAAGTTTACGGTCAATCCGAGAACCTCAATATTTTAACCAAATCTTTCGCCGAGGCTAAGAGTGAGGAGCGAGAGGTCAAGAGCGCGCTATATCAGTGTGTATTGCTTCTAAGAAGCTGGAAAAAATATGGAGTGTATAGGTATGAGAGAGGTGTCTAACATGATTTTTGGGGGAATTACAGAGCAACTTTGGGAGAGCCGATATTTTACGGCCTGAGCATGCATGTTGGGGGGCTAATAACTCTGCGAATATTAAAGATATGAGGCTGAAGTTTGTTTTATTGGACAGATCTCTAAAAATATGATTTTTAGAGAGAAGGTCGTAGAATAACAAGTTTCCAATAAAAGTGCCTAATTGACAGCTGAACTTGGGAAATCTGTCAATAAAGGCGAGTTTGCGCCCTTATATCTCTGCAAGTTGTAGGGTTGGGGTAATCTCATGTGGTCCTTGATATGTACTTTTGATAGCTCTATTTTTCTAGGGGTAGATCATGGCTGTAGCTCCACCGTAGGAGGCGCTATATAAAGGCGATGATGCATATTTTGAATTTTATCTCCGTGGAGAGTAGGGATAACAGGCTGGGATAACCATTCTTCAGTTTGAATTCGAGGGGGACAGCATGTATAATTCGGAGAAAATGCAGGGGCTCCGCCTGTGGGAGCCCATCTATAAACCTTCCCGGACTTGCTTTTTTTTAGTTCAGGGTCTCGCAATTTCTTCTCTTTCTCCCCCCTCATTTTTCCCCTCTCTTTATTTCTGCAGCGCGTGTGATAGTTACCCGCGACCATCTGGACCTGGTTAAGGGGCTGAAAACGGCTAGAAAGGGGGTAAATCGGGCTAGAAAAACGCGATTTTCGTTTATTTTCCTTAATTTTTCTTATTTTCTTCAATTTCGATCGTGATGTGGGGTATAAAGTGGGCGGAGCTTGCTTGAAAAAGTTTCAGCTGTATAAAAGCACTGGAAATGAGCTTATTATTGAGATTTTCGAATTTTTCGCTTAGTTTTTCAATAATTTCACCAATTTCCGAAATTAAACCTCCAAAATATCGATTTTATCGATTTGTGTCGATTTTTGGGGTTTTGCAGCCTTCAAACTATCGATTTTATCAATTTTGCCGATTTTTGTCAATTTTCGGGATTTCGCAATCTTCAAAATATCGATTTTATCAACTTTGCCGATTTTTGGGATATCGATTTTTGTCTATTTTCGGGATTTTGAAACCATCAGAATATTGATTTTATCAACTTTGCCGATTTTTGGGATATCGATTTTTGTCTATTTTCGGGATTTTGAAACCATCAGAATATTGATTTTATCGATTTTTGTCAATTTGCGAGATTTCACAACCCTCAGAATATCGATTTTGTCGATTTTCGGGGTTTCGCAACCTTTAAAATATCGATCTTATCGATTTTCGTCAATTTTCGGTATTTCGAAACCTCCAGGATATCGATTTTATCGTTTTTTGTCGATTTTCGGGATTTCACAACCCTCAGAGTACCGATTCTATCGATTTTTGGGGATTTGGTGGTTCATTAACCTCCAAAATATCGATTTTTCGCTTTTTAGCTGTGAACTGTAAGCCCCGCCCACTTATGATATTACTATACAATACCGCTCACAAAATATGCAAAATTTCCGTGAATATCGCAAAATTCCGAAAATTCCGCGATATTCCTGGAATTTCGCGAAGTTTCGCGAAATTCCGGAAAGTTCGCGGAATTTTCGGAATTTCGCGGCATTTACGAAAATTTTGCACATTCTGTGAGCGGTATTGTATTCGCGTTCATCTAATATCGCTTCACGTTCAGCTTAACTGAACGTAAACTGGTATGCAACAGTTGACTGCAGCAGGTGGGCGGATGGCCAACTGTCAGTTCACATGCAATGCTTATAGCATGGGAAGGTGGGCGGTCATCATTTCACCTGACGTAAGCTCAACTGATGAGTTCACCTCAACTGATCGAGCTTTACTACGATCCAATGTCTCTCACTTTGAGAAATATTATGAGGTTTTTGATGATCAACGCAGGAGGCAGGTCATTGAGCGAGTACCTGTTAGTTACGGATCCACTGAAGCACAGTCAAGACGCCCAATGACAACCAGATCAAGACCAAGGCTACAAGCAAACAGTACCCTTAAGTGGCTTACAAGAGAACCGTGTCGAGTAGAAGTGGCATTTCCAGATGAGACCCATACTGCTTTGGAGAGCATTAATTGGTGATTCCAAATCTGCCTTCCAAATCTGCCAAGCGCCTCTGGACGCCGAGTTATGCTCGTTTTTCAGGTCAAAAAACCAAACGCAAAACTAAAGCAAAATTGCCTAAATTTGCTCAAATGGTCCAGTGTGTATGCAATGGATACATTTGTACATTTTTTTGCTAAAACTTAACATTGCTTTATCTGAGTGCTGGAGAGATTGTAACAATCAATTTTACCTAAATTCTGCATTCATTTTTCGTTCCGATGAACAGTCATAACGTCCAGAGGCGCTTGGCAGATTTGGAACGCAGATTTGGAATCACCGCTTAATACTCTTCAAAGCAGTTTGGGTCTCATCTGGAAAGGCTACTTTGACTCGATGCTGTTCCTTGTTAGCTTACCCTTTTCAATCATACTGGTGAGATCTCAAAGTACAGGGTGTCCCAAGAGTATGTATACACTGTTTGATCGTTGATATCTCTTTTTCCAAGAAGTCTTTTGCTACTTCTAAGTACTATTTTGTAGTTCTGGCTTCAACTTAAACTTACAGTATGGAGAATCACGGATCATTCTTCACTATGTAAGATTACGGTAGGAACTTTCAGCTTATAGCGTCATTACGGATTTACCGATTTAGTTTCAAAAAACTTTCCAAAAAATCTGAAAAGTAGTGTACTAGGGTTTTCAAGCTCGCTGATTTTATTATTGAACTTTTTACGAGTTTGCAATGCTTTATAAATGGTGTAATCACGATTCTATGGAGTCTTGTAAAGACAGCTATTGCGGTCTACCTGGCGTAACTGAAGGAAGCATTGCGGTAAAGTGCGAACACCATATTTCGTTCTAGCGATTTCAGTTGGCCTAGCATGAAGGTTTTCTAATTGTTCGGCTTGCTTCCCGAGGCGAAATAGGGTTCTGGATAACTCACAACCCTTCTGGAATTTTCTACCATAAACCTACAGTAATGAAGAGCGACCAGTGATTCGCTCTATACTGTAAGTCTAAGTTGAGGGCAGCTCCATAGAATTGGGCTTAAAGGTAAGCAAAAGACTTTTTGGGAAAAGAAATATCAACGATCAAACAGTGTATACATACTTTTGGGACACCCTGTATAGTAGGGAGTCAAGACTTACCCATCGAAGCAAATCATAATCAAGGTGCCGAAAACCATGTTGCAGAAAAAACTGCACTATACGCGACTACTCCGACAATCGCCGGGAGCAGGCGATCCGCAAACTCGCGCTTTTCTGCAAACGGTCACCGAAATTTTGGGCGTAGCCAAACCTTCAACGGGAGGTACGCCAGCAGGCAGCAATACAGAGTTTTCTGCGAGCGCTCGCTGGAAGAAATTATTTGACGAGCGCTTGCAGAAATTCTGTGTTGCTGCCCGCTGGAAGAACACGGAAGTACTGCCCGCTGAAGGTTTGGCTACGCCCCAAAATTTTGCTGACCGCTTGCAGAAAAGTGCGAGTTTGCGATCGCCTGCTCCCGGCGATTGTCTGAGTGAATGGTAGAGGTGCCATAGATGGTTTTATTACCCAAGTTTGAAGCACTTTTCTTCAGCGGAAGGTACCTACAGGATGTGCGGTCTTTTACAAAGGACCGTGCAGAAAGTCCACGAAAATGCGGCCACTGCGCCGCAACTAATCTATGATTAATCCCCATACGTTGGCTCAAAAAATGTTTAACATTATCCCAAATTCTGCAAGCAGGCCGCAAGATATCGGCGAACTATTTTTCCGGTGCCCGCTTGCGTACAAATCGCATAGCCGCCTACCACTGACGATTCTTTGAGATTGTCGCATCTCGAACAAATGCCATCCTCCTTTCTCCATTATCAATCCGACTACGTGTGCTCGTTTGAGTTCTCCACTTCATGCGACTCAATCAAAAGACTAGGATTATTCAACCAGGTGCAACTCACGACACGACTCTCTACTCCTGGTGGAAAACCTGGTAATAAACATCCCCGACTATGTCGACATTTACGACTTTCTGCCATAGACAAGAAAGGCTGGAAAGGACAAGCGACAAAATTTGTCACAGGTACATCACAGTTTTGCAAACGACACAAGTGCAGTCCAAGAGCACGTCTATTTTGCGCTTATGATAACCCGTTTGATTACCTATTCTCAATGCTACCAGTTGAGAGTCAAGGCCGGGGGCCCCATAGCAAAAAGCTACTATGGATTTTCCAGTAACGATGTGACGTCACAGGCGTAGCTATTTCCTCACGCGCAAATTTTACCGCATTTCACCTAAAGTGCAAGCACACTATATTGAGCAGAAAATCTACTCGACTGTACCATGTATTCACTTGTCCCAATTAGAAAGTAGTTGTGGACGCAGTAATGCCTCCAAAGATAGTTCCGAGCCCTCTTCTACAGTTCTGAAGCTGTATCCAGGACAAACAAGCCTATGAAATTATGTGAAAGTCACTTTCACGAGTACCATCAATCCTCAGTTCCCAAGATTTTTATCTCAACAGGAAAAGAAATTTCCATTGTCGAACCCGCACATAAAGGTCATCTGACACAAAGAAGTGCAGGACAACTACAATACTCTTCTTGAAGCCACAGAAAGAATGCACTTTGTGTAGCAAAGCATGCACATGCACTAACGAATTGCACAAAGCATTTGTGTTGCGCAAACTCATGGAAAGTTCTCCATTGCCTCACGTATTCAAATCCTATGCAATTTTCACTCAAGATGGCGAAGTTTGCGCAAAGTCTACCGTCGCATCTGAATTACAGGTACATGTTGTCGCGAAAAACATGGAAAGCACTCTACGCATACTACTTGAGAAGTGGAAGCAAGCAACTTTGTTGGATGCTAAAATTGTATCCGGAGCTGAGTTTCCTCTATCATGCGAAAGTGAGGAAGGAGACACATTAGCCGATATCTTGCGCCCAACCGAAAATCATTTGGCAAGATGCACAACCAGTGGATCTTTAGGCAAATTCAACATTTCAGTAATATAAAATTGATTCGTCAGCTGTCGTGGAGGTAAGACTGATATTACCGTTTACGGTCACCTACATCACATCAGCAACAACTTGGACAAAGAAGACTCGCGCGCAGAAAATGAGCAGAGCACAATTTCTGAAGACGTCTTATATCTGGGCACACCTGGCGATCACGTTACTGCCTTCTTCATAACCTTTGTAACCTATCTTTACAGACTCATAATTCAAAGTATCAAAGTAATTGTGTTGTGTGTTGTCTGCCTCTTTCTTTTGTGTATACTTTCAATGCTTTGCAGAATTTGTACGAGAATTCCCTACTTTCACTTTCATCATAAACGCCATTAGCTCATCTTCCTCGTGCGGAGTTTCTGTAACACTAGAAGATGTTGAAAAACATCATTTCTGTCATATTCGAAATTGCGCTTCATCTTAAAACGAGGATTAGTCAACGGTCTATTAGTCATTTTATGGAATTTCGCAAATGCTGTGTTGATGCTGTTATGTTATGCTATTCGAAAAATAGCTCACGAACAAAAGAGAGTTGTATGGTATGTAAGCTCGGCGAATATTGTTGCTTTTCTTTCGCCTTATCTCCTATGCAATAAAGGTCAGTCTTCCATCGCTTTCGAGGTCAGTTTTCAAATCAACTAGTCTGAATATTAATTCTGGATAGATGTTTCGTAAGCCTACAGCGCCGTGCTCTTGGCCCCGGCACAGAGCTACCGAAGCTTACGACAGAGATCTCGGTCAACACTTGGCTGGGAATGTCCACTATATGCCGGCGCTGTCTTACCGACACAGCTCCGGCACTCTGTACGGAGCCTAAAGCTGCAACTTCAAATAGCAGTGGCTCAGATTACGCGTGGGAAAAATCTTGCATCTGTTCTCGTTTTGTAACTTCATATCGCCACTTTCATGATGCGAAAGACGCTCAAGCATGCAGTAAATGTGAAGACTCGAATAGAGAGACTCAGTCCTACTACAGCTTTCTTATTCGGCAGCCTGCCACACCCCACTGCCTTCTTATGGCGAAAAAGCGTTGTGATAGTAATCGAGTAGCAAAGGTTTGTAGTAGACATTCAAGCCATGGGGGTGATTAGCCTTGATTTTATCTCGTAGTATACTTTGTACTCAAGCAATAGAATGGAAAACAAACACGGTAGGTAAATAGTGCATTGCTTTCAGCTTACATTTGAAATCGACTCAGAGTTTCAAGATCGGACAAAGTTCAATAGTTTGCTAGATGGACAAGAAATTTGCGAGAATGAACTCAGTTTGAACGCGACGTTAATGATAGAATGGGAACGGATCGTAACAGATATTGTTTGGAGAGACGATGAGAATGAGGCAGAACCTGCTTATCCTTGTTTCAGTCTAAATTGATTAGAATGCCAAACTTTGGCAGCACGTTCATTCAAGTTTTGAAAAAACAGAGTCTGTTTTTTAATCGCCAAAAAGCGTTTCCAACAACAATAAAATCTGTTGCAAGCAATGTCATTGAAGATGACATTGTATTCAAAAAACTGTCAGATGTTTTGCATGGGCAACGACAGAGTCCGGATTAGTCCTTACTTTAATAGCTGTCCATCCATTAGAGCAGATATCGGGTTAGCCGATGAATTTTAATACGCTCTTTCAGTTTTTGAATGTTCGAAATGTTTTTGAAAATGACAAGAGCTAAGCAGGGTTAAGCAAGTGCAGGGGTTAATATTGCAAGAGAGCTTCATGTTTTAAGGTCATGGTGATTAAAATTTCGAGCGATATGAGTTTTCCAGGATTCACTCATCTATTTCCTTTGGAAGTAAGTCTGCGGATAATTTTTAGCGATCCATAGTCTATAAAAAAGTACTATCAAAGATCCTTGCTGAAATATGCTACGGGCAATGCGCGCTACTTTACGCCTTTGCGAAGAGACGTCCGTAGAAAAATTTAAGAAAGCTGAAATCAGAATATCATAGACACGCTCTATATCATAAGATTCGCATTAATAAGCTGAGCACAGCGCTTTTTCGGATTTAGAATATACCTATTCCGAAGGAAGTTATGGCTCGTAGAATTTGGAAACACGTGAATTTTCCAGAATTCATCAACACTTATATCTCTTTTGGCAAGAAGTCTGCGGCTACACTTTAGCGCGCCATATTCTACAGAAACAGTATTATCGAATAGTACTTACCTTTATCTGTTATGTTGGATGGGCGCTGTGTTTACATCCTTGCAAACCGCAGAAGAATTTGAGAAAACTGGAAACGGAATATCGAGGACATACTGTACATCGAAAGATTCATCTTGACGTGCTGAACACAAAGCTGTTTTCGCATTCAGAATACATTCATTCGGAAAGAAGTTATGGCACTGCGTACTTTGCGTGATTCGCGTGGATTCCGCGGAATTCCTGGAATTTCGCGGAATTCCCGAAATGTCGCGGAATTCCGGGAATGTCGCGGACTTTCGCGGAATTTCCGAAATTCCGCGACATTCACGGAAGTTTTGCACATTCTGAGAGTGGTATTGAATAAGAGCTTGAAATGAATGGAAAGACAAACATTTCTTATAAACCTTACCCTAATCCTTCTTGCAAATTCAACTTCGCAACACCATTTCATATATGTGGCAAATAATGTTTGTGAATTCACTGTCAATGAAGTATAAAAAGCGCCAAATACAATAAAAATGCATTCTTTACTCTCGGGAGCAATTTAGTAAGAAATTATCTTCAGAAGTTGGCATGCCGCTTGTTCCCCAATAGAGTCTAGTTACTGGCTACTACGCTCCGCTTGGCCAGCTCTCCACTTTGAACCGAAAACTACCCGACTGCGGTGCTACAGTACTTTGAAGCCAGCACAGTCTATTTTTCTACCTTTTTTCAAAAGGAATTCCTTATTAGGGTCCAGCTCTCCCCCATAAACATAAATGCAAGCAGGCAAAGTATAAAGTGTCAAACCGTTGAGTTCGTCATCTTTGCATTCTTTCTAAAGCTGTACTCATTCAGGGACTTGTATTACCCACACTTTTAGAATGTTCATGGGCTACGTTCTGCTACTTATCACCATCGCCATCTTCTCCTTAGCATCAGCAACGGAATGCACTCTCTCGGAAGAGCTTGCTTGCTCATTTGGATGCTTTGTTAGGGTAATGGTTTGTTTATAGTCATGTCAACAATCAGTTTTCTTTCATTTCAAAGCTCGTGCTTTTGGTATATTTCTCACCGATAATATTAGCAAAAAAGTTTTTTGAAATCATCTCGTTACGATTTATTCAGTACGACCGCAATCCTTCCGCGGAACATAAACGACGGGTCATTATTGCTTTGCATAAAGTTTATTTTGTCTAAAGTGCATCTATCGCAACAAAGAGAAGAACTAGGAGCATACGATGTGTTAAAACCATACATTGAAGATGGGTTTATTTTCTTCATAACCCCATTCCCTCCTCATCGACAGCATTCCATTTTCCAGGGAGGTGGTGTATTTCTTAGCAAGGTAGCAAGGCAAATACTTTCTAGGTAGATTCAAAGCGTGCATTTCCAAAAAGTATTTGCTACTTTTGGGGCCCGAAAAACCTGGCTGCAATTTTGTACTCAGCTGCATAAAAGACTACACTCTTTCATGTGAAGAAAATGAGCTGAAATTTGCTAAAGAGAGTACTTGTTTTTTAGCGTGCTAATGAAAGAAAATCATTGTGGTTTTAGGTAGATTATGCACTTTATGCACCCAGCCCCGTAGCTCAAATTTTGCAAAAAATCGATAAAATCGATATCGATCGGTACGAGAAGTAGCCTATGACACGCTCCCTGCCCCGAAGTATATGTGTGCCAAGTTTGGTCCCGATCGGTTCGGAAATAAAAATTTCTATTCCGCACATACGTACAGACAGACAGACAGACATACAGACAGACACACATTCAGCTTTATATATAAGATTGTTTTTCAGCTTTGCAGTTATTATTGGTGCGAGGACGGAGAATGCACCTGCTTCTGTCAAAAGAAGTAAACATAATTCGCTCATCTTTCTCTTTCGTGTAGTAATTGTTTTTGTTTAGCGAATGTTCCTGTTCCATCACAGAATATGAATAAACACTAATTGAACATTCTGGAACTCCGTGCACTCCAAAGTGCTGGCCAATAAAGACGCTTTTGTTTGGCTAACGAATCATTTTAATGGTTTTGAGGGTCTGTAGAAATGTTGTGTGAATGTTTGGCGTCGTTCGAAAAAGTATTATATTAGGTTGTCCTATGAGTCTTTTCATTTTTGAGTTTGCGCTGTGACAGGTCGTGCACTTCTCATTCTGAGTAGGCACCAGGTTATAATTCGATGGAGGAAAGCAAGCTCTATAAGATGACGTCTATGTTTTTGCACCAACTTCGATCCACCTCAAATTTGAAACCAAAATCTAAAAAGTTTCGGGTGCCCAAAAAATTGAAAACTTTTTATATCTTCGTTCAAAAAGTCCTACAAATCTTTCAATCGCTCACGCATATACACTTCACATCAGACACTCATATGCTGTTGCCGTATTTTTTCATTGGCTGGAAATCAAGAAAACGAAAAATTCCATGTTTTTCCCAAAGTGGTGCTGTGCTGTTCTTACACTAACACTTGCATACTACAAGCCTTTAGAAGTACAACCCCTAATTTTAAGCTCTCTATGGGCTCTCCTTTCCGCAAAAAATCTTAGCCACTAATTGCGACTCAAACTGTTGTAAAGTGTCGTATCGCATGTTCAAACAATCTACAGGCCAAGTAACTCCCCCCCCCCCCCGAGCTTTTGAGAACCAAAAATTTAAATAGATGAGATCAAAGAATTGCATTCAAGTAAATATATGAGCGAAGGAAATATCAAATGAAGAGGATCAAGAACCCAAGGATCTGAGTCCCTCTCCAAATATAATTTCCAAAAAGGCCAAGACATCACTGGACAAAGCGCCTAAGGAGAACAAAACTAAGCTTTTCTTGCATGAACTTCTTTGAAATCAAAACCCAAAAATACCAGATTAGTCTTTATTGGAAGTCTATTTATATATAGGCTGCTGCATGACGAAAGCGCAATGGGCGCAATCGCGGCTTTATACAACGATGAGGATACGCGCGCGCCGCGTTTGCGTCCGCTCAGCTAAGATTGCTCCTGCGCCTTCGTCATGCAGTAGCTTTAGATAAAGTTTGACTGCACTTTGGTTAAAACAGCGTCAGAGCCATCAATCTTTTGTTGATGTGACTCACTTTTGAGAACGTGTAAAATTTTACTTATACGTCTTTTTACTGGAAATGAAGAACGAACGGACTTCCGACATCAACATGTAGGTATATAGTATAAACAGCTCAAAAATGATTGAATAACAAGCATTAAGTCATAAGTCTTACCCTAATCCTACTTGCTTCAGTTTCGCTGAAGCATCGTTTTTGCACTTGTGGCGGTTACAGCGACTAATTATTAATTAAGAAGGCTTTTCTACGCGTTCAGAAACAAGTTTTAAATATAGCAATCCAATACCAAACCCTGAAATAGAATCATTAAAAAGCATTCTTCATTCAGTAACAAATCAGTAAAAAATCTTCTTCGGAGGTTGCCATTGGGCTGGATCCTCCACAGAGTTAATCGCTGATGCACTGCTTGGCCAGCTTTCTACTTTTTATAATAGAAAGAATTCCAACTGCGGTTTTACAGTCCTAAGCCAACACATGTTCTTAATCAAGCGATTTGTGATTGTGAGAGCAGGTAGAGTGGATTATGTGAAGGTGTGATTTCGTTTTTTCTCTGATAATCTTTTGAAAATTTATACTCATTTAAGAAATTTTATTGTCCACACTTTTAAAAAGTTCAAGGGCATTTCTCTGCCGCTTGTCGTCATCGCCATTCTCTCCATAGCATCAGCAAAGAAAGCTGTAGCTTCTAAAAGCAATTTTCTTGTATTTGAATGCCTTGCTATGGTAATGGATCGTGTTTATAGCCATGTTAACAATAGTATTTTATAATCTCTCTTGTGCACTTGACTTTAAATTTCTTTTCGACGGTATCGGCTAAGAAAAAAACGATATCTTTAGCTACGATTTTTTCTTTACAAAAACATATAACGGACGGCAGGTCAGTTATACGTTTTGATGTACTGTATTTTGGTGGCTCTGTTGCTTTGCAATGTTCCTTTTTATTTTCTAATGTACTTATCGCAGCAGAGAGCTTGCGTTCAATTCAGATTCGTCTTTGTAAGCAAGATGCATCCATGCATGCCATTCCATAACATCTTGCAGAATCAGCGCGCATACACAAGAAACAAAGAATTGCAGTAATTTCTCTTTTGTTTCAGAAATTTCACTTTTAGTTCCCAAGAAGCTATTGTAATCTTTAGCAAGGCAGCAAATTTGCGTTCTTTAGGTACCCAAGAACTTGCTTTTGCCAAAAATATTCGATACTTTTGGGACCTTTAGAATTATGAAGTGGCAATTTTGTAAGCAGCTGCTGAAAGACTGCAATGCGATGGGCATGGGAAGAAATGAGACCAAGTTGCTCACTTTCAGAAGATAAGCTTACCTTTTCCACGATGGCAGATGATTTCACAATAATTCTATTTTATTTTGTGCTATGCCTTCGGGTGCGCAGATGGAGAATGCATCTACATAGATTGCAAAAACTAAAATTTTTGGCTTGTTTATCAATTTACGAAGATAAATGTTCTCATTATTAGCTCATTTTCTTTTCGGGCACTAATTGCAGCTTATGTCGCTTTTTTGAGTATCATGCATGTCAAATGAAAACTAGAGCCAAACTGAAACTCGGGGAATTTTAGTCTTAGTGGACACTAGCTGGCTTACCCGGCTCCGCCGTATGTTCCGAATAGAAAATTCCATTTCTTAACCGATCCGGACCAAACTTGGCACACATACACTTCGGGCCCCGTCGGGTGTCACAGTCCACTTTTCGTTATCGATCGATTATCTGATATTCAAGTTGCTGTATTTTTTTCGTGACTAGAAACTGAGAAAACGAAAATTTTCGTGTTTTTCTAAAAGCAATGCCTGAGCCGTTTTTGCATATGTGATTCTATACTGCAAGCCTAGGTAAGTATAACCGTAGATTTTCAGGCAATTCCGAGCGGTAGTTTTCGAAATGTCGTTTTTAGCACTGAAACTGAAACGAAGAAAGCTGATTTCGATATTTCTCGAAAACTGCTGCTCGAAATGGGCTGAAAATCTACAGTTATAACTTCCATGTTTCCTCCTTTCTTAACCTCGGCATAGTTAGTTGTAATGTGGTGAGTAGTTAGTATGCCAGCACGAGGTTAGTAGAACATACATATGCAAGAACGGCTCAGCATTTCTTTTAGAAAAACACGAAAATTTTCGTTTTCTCAGTTTCTAGTCAAGGAAAAGATGCAGCAACTGCACACATGGATATCAGATATTGAAATTATTGACATATGCGAGTGGGAGGTCCGTAGATTTCGATTTTTTGGGCATTGGAAATCTTTAGATTTTGAGTTCAAATTTTCCGGGGATCGAGCTTTGCGCAAAAACATGAACGCCATCTTGTAGAGCTTACTTTGCTCTATCGAACGGTACCCATTACCCTTTGTTGGGTTGAGTCTGGTTGCTTTGTTGAAGCAAGCAAATAAAAAACGACATTATTTTTTTGACAACCTAATATATTCAAAAAATGCGCTTCCACCTCTTTATATTCCCTTGCGCTTTAGGTGTTGCCGCGGGTTTGATAGCAAGCGTTGTAACCTCCAATCCTAAAGTTCTAATGCTTAACTTTTTGGAACTTCCAGCCCATCACTCAACACTTGCTGCAGCAAAAGTAATAGAGAAGGATGCGGTATTCAAAGTGTATGGTATTTATAGTATGTACTCAGTATCACATGATGAACTTCTGGACTGCTTTGCAATATCGAATGTAATTTTCGCAAATCAGCACAATTTCATGGCGGGATCGTCTACAACGACAAATCGCCGAATCTGTATTTGATCGAAATTTGGCCTAACAGAGGCAACTCTTTCGATGTCATTTACATGGATCTGTCCAAGGCATTCGCAAAGTAAACCAAATTATACTTTTCTTAAAATTAGAGAGCTTTGGTTCAGGCGGAAGTCTCTTAAAAAGGCTGAAATCGTGTTGAACAAGAGAGGGATGACAGTTCGAGTAGAAACACCAGTTTTCGGAGCAATTTATCTGCGTAAGCCGTGTCAATGTGCAGTGCTTTCTCTCTCGCTTTTTCTGTGTATACTGTTCAGCATATTACAGTTCAAATGTATGCAGGCGCTAAAAAAATTCTATAATGAGGAAAATGAAGCTGAAGTCAGATCTGCCATGGAAGCGCTTCTAGAGAAGTGATAAGTTGGGCGGCTTGTTTAATCATTCCCATTAATTTGAAAAAAAGTTTTCTCATGCATTTTGGTGACCGTGATTCCCAGAACTGTCCCACTGCCAAAGAGTTAGGCGTTTTGATTAATCTTAATCTGAATTTTTCGTTCATACTGATAACATGTATAAATGAGGCTTGTTTAATTTTATTTGCAACCTAACTTGCAGTAGGATTTGACTCAAGGCAGCAATAATGGATAAGGTTACAGAATTTTCCCCTTTCGTGCATGAGCGCCATCGAACCCTACTCTGGTGTAAAGAATGTCGATACTCCCCCTCCCCCCCCCCCCCTCTTCCCACCCCGCGTTGGTTACAACAGATCTGTAGGGTCAGCAGGAGGTGGAAGCAATCCCTACTGAGGTTCTTGCGATCAAAAGAGAATAACTCGTAACTTTGCCTGTGTAGATAGTAAGCTATCGTTAGAGGATTATATGGGGATCCCGTGGTATTTTATGATTTTGAAAGTACCGTTACACAATTAACATCACCTGAGATGTCATAGCAGTAATTCCCATCTGAATGATGATGCGTCAAAAAGCCGCTTACCTTTTTCTCATTCATTGTGTGAGAACAGGACAACAAAAAGAGTCGACTTATTGGATCTGGACCTTTGGAACCAATCACTGATACTGGGGCAACGAAAGGTCATTGCAAAGGTAATGAGTAGCAAACGATGAAAGAAAACAGTGCACTTTGTTGAAATGTCTATGAGAGTACCTGACATGCTTCGCATACACAGCGCTAGGAAAAAATGTTTCTTTGCGATGCATCTTTTTTTTCTTGCAAGCAAATCATAAATGTCACTGTCAAGCAAGGAGTTTT